TTAAAATTTCGTTTGAAATTTATTAGTATTGTTAATTAAAATAAACAAAGTTTGAGTATTAAAATAGATACAGTTATAAAAGTTGGTGTATTAAAATGGGCAGAATAATTAGTTGAGGTATTAAACTGGGTAGTGAAAAAGTTTGGGTATTAAAAAGCTTAATAGAATTTAGTTGGGGTATTTATATGGAATTTTCCCTAAATCATCCAACTGGTTCGACAATAACAATTGTGCGATGTGATTAGGTTTTAGGCTGTGGCCCAACTCACAACCCATATTTTGTATAGGCCCATGTTTTAAGATTATTCTCCAAGCAAAAATAGAAACGTGTACACACGGAATAACTTTTCATTTTTTAAACTTCTCTTTTCATGTTTTAAGATTAGTCATTGAGTTTCCACTACCAAGTGAAGAGGAACGTTTCAAGCTACTCAACCTCTATCTCAACAAGTACTTGAAGAAGAATGAAGAGAACAGAGACACAAGACCTAAATGGAGTCATTTGTTTAAGAAGTTGTCACAGGATATTAGAGTTGAAGATGACTTGACTGATAAAGTGATCTTTGAGGCTGCGAGGAAGACTGATGGATTCTCTGGCCGTGAAATCGCAAAGCTTGTGGCTGGAGTACAAGCTGGAGTATAGGGACGAAAGGATTGTGTGTTGGATTCTCAGTTTTTTAAGGAGATTGTTGAGTATAAAGTTGAAGAACATCACCAAAGAATTAGACTTGCTTCTGAAGGTTGTCAACCATTACTCTTCTCTTAAGCCATTTGTTGGTTATAGTATTTGTTATTTACTAATTTAAAAGTTCACAAATCCTTTTTTTCAATAAAAAAGATTTTCTACAAAAGCAATTTGGATTATTATTTTAAAGATTTTCTACAGAAGCAAGAAATTTTTTGAGAAGTTTATTGTAGACAAATGGTCTTTCCAGTTGCACCAAGTGACCTCCATTCTTTATACTTTCCATACTTGTCATCTCTCCCAATTTTCTACAATATGAAAATTTGAATGGACATAACTAAATTGAGAAAATAGTACAATTATGAAAGAAAATAAAAATCGATTAGTAGAAACTTACATTCGCAAATCTTTAGCAAATTCAAGACTGAAGAAGCGATCATTTTCACCCCATAAAAGATGTATTTTCTGCGAGCAATATATAAAAAGAAAAATATGTAAAATTATGATTTTGATAAATTATTTTACATAGAGAAGAGACTACTACAAAAAGACCATTAGATGACAAAAAAAGATAACACACTATTTTTTATGAGGTAAACTAGTGAACACCTATATTAGAAACGCATTAAAAGAAGAAGAAACCCTTTTAGTATACTCCCTCCGTACTTAAATTATCATTAATTATTCACATCTAACTTGGATCAAACTAAAGTATTAAGAAATATATAGAGTATAATATTAAATCATCTAACTTGGATCAAACAAAAATCTCTGAATGTCAAGTATTAAGAAACACATAGAATTGTGACAAAAAAAAAACACATAGAATATAATATTAAATTACCTGAGGAAAACTAGGGAATGTAGTGTCACCATTGATGACTAGAGCTTCTAAGAGTTCAGCTCTTTCTTTTCTGTTTGTGAACATTGTCTGTGTAAAAATAACATAATCATTGGTTACATACATTTTGTCAATGCAAAAAAAAAAAAAAAATCGCCAATGTGTTTATTGATAACTTGCTATTCCATAATTAATAAGTTTGAACAAAGATATATAAAATTAGACTGTATAAGAACTTTCTGAAAATAAAATAAAATATCGGATGCACCTTAAGGTAATCTATTAAGGGCCAACTTGGGAGCCAAATGCGTTTATGCAAAGCTGTGGAGAGTAGAAACTTTAGTCCTTCAACCGTTTTGGGTAACAAGACATCCGAAATTGAACTAAACCCAAACCGGTTCACATTCAAATCGGTCATAACCGGAGGAGAACCAGAAACCACCAAAGCCTTAACCATGTCCCCATACAAGTCGGCAATCTTGAACGCCACAACACCACCGTAGCTAAACCCAACTGGAACAAACGTATTCACGCCAAGAATACGCATAGCCTTAACCAAACACTCGGCTTGAAACTCCGGTGACCGGTCCGGTTTATCAGTGTAAGACTTACCGAAGAAGAGCAGGTCCGGTATATAAACAGAGTATCTCTTTGATAAAGAACGAACCTGTAACGCCCACGTCATCACTCCATCGCCGGCAAAACCATGAATGAGTAACACAGCCGGTTTATGGCCGGTTTTCTTTGGTAACCAGAAATGAAGATTGGTTTCTGGTTCAGTTTCTACGGTGTATGGAACCAAACCGGCTGATTTTATGATCATGCACATCGAGGATCTTAGTGCAACCACCAAGTTCAACATTTTAAAACCTCTTTCTTCTGTTTAGTGCTAACGAATCTTCATCTCTTAGCTTAGATATTTGCTTATAAAGAGAGATGTGTTCTCAAATTATTTAAAAAAAAAAATGTTTGATGGATATGATCGTAGCTTAATGATATGTGAACCAAATAATGCAATCATAATCTCATGGACATGGTTGACAAACTTTTCAATCACATTGCCACAATTGTATCCTCCATCAAGGTCTCTCCCGGAGCAATCAGTTTGTAAATATAGGGAATGTTTTTATAATCAATGGTTTACCAAAATATTAAAATGCTTACTGTATCTGATAAAAGGTTTTCAGTATAAGAATAACAGATTGTCACGTTTTACTAAAGCAAAACGTCCTTGACATTTTCATGATTATAATGATAGATGGCTTTGTAGAGGATCCAACTGCTACCGACGCTATCTCTTGATCCCGCATCTTCTCCCTAAGTCAGTATCTAGTCTGCATACTCTTCGTACACAGTAATATTGTAATAAAGGCATTAAAATCCATGTCGGCCTCCAGGCTCCAACTTAGAGTTTAGCATAGTATATAGCACGAGGTGATGTAACCATGATAGCTAGGGACAATAATTGACAAGTAGTAACACAAAACTAAATTGATTATGTGTTTTAGTTATTAAGATAAAATATTTTGATATAATCTTTTACAAAACCTGGCGCCAGTTCCACCAAATATTACATATATTGATCTTAAAAGAAAAGAAAAAAAAAAACCAAATGATTATTCATTTTTGATATTCATTTTTGACATAAAGAGTATATATATCAAGATCAAATATAACTTATTATATGATGTGTTTATTGAATGATTTTTTCTTCAAAATGAATGGATGCAAGAAACTTTTTGAGGCGTCTATTGTAAACACAAGGCCTTTCCAATTGTACCAAATGACCTGCCTTCTTTATGCTTTCTATTGTTGCGTTCTCGCCTAATTGTCTAGTAATACAACAACGACAAAAGTTAGGAACAATACAAATTAATCCTTATAAATGGTAGAGAAGATTATTAATTGTTATAGATAGTCTTCGAACTTACGTTTTCATGTTTTTAGCTAACTCGAAGTCGAAGATTTGATCACTTTCACCCCACAATAAATGTATTTTCTGCATGCACATAGAAAAAAAAGAGGGGCAAATTATCAAAAGATGTATGTAAATATATACGAAGTTGAAAATTTGTCTATACGTACCCATGGGAAATGAGGGATTGTCACGTCCTTGTTGCTGACTTCAACAGCCTCTAATAATTCAGCTCTTTCTTTCCTGTTGTTGAACATCACCTATGCAATTTCACCAATAAAAATAAAATTCTGAGCACATCCATTCACATTTGTGTTTCTTTTCTACAATTTTTTTCCCTATTCTGATTAAGTATATAAATAATAGCAATTCTAGCTTACTTAAACACTAATCATTGGTAGACACATAAACCTTAGTCACCCAGATATAGATGCCTGAGTTAGTTAAGAGTTGTTGAACAAATTATATCTAAACAACCATATGATCTATTATATTCTATATATATCCTGCCATGTATTTATCAATAATCTATTTTCTTCATTTCAATCTAGGAGATGTTAGGTGAACAAATTAGAGTGTACACAATATTAAGTTCAAACTGAGGGATAGAAAAGCAACATGAAAAACTAACTACTACAGAAAATTAAATTAGTGAATGATAGAAAGTAACAATACATATCACTACCATTTTTAAATTTATGTTAGCAAAATTATCTATAAATTGTGTAGTTTTCAAGTTCAGATATCTGATATAAAGAGGCAATATACTTCGCGCGGCCCACCTAACTCTCACAATCACTTAAAAAGGAATGTGATTCATATGAATATTATTTATAAAATTCTATTGATTATATTTTGTAAGCAATCATCCTAAGAATGATTTTGAGCCAAACTCACTTCTTAAAAATGATATATAAGATTTTCAAGACGCTAAGATGACCTTACACTATCTTATAAAATGTTGATCGTTAATCTGGTAAGAGTCACAGAAAAGGCCAAAATATAACTTACACTTTCGCATAATATATTGTTACTAAAAAATCTACCCCCAGAGAATATAGGTTATAATAAGACAACCATTGATTATTTTCACTAAACAGATAGGTTATAATAAACTTTCCGCACTAAATTAAGTACCTCAATGAAGTCTTTGAACAATCGTTTAGGAAACCACAAGGGTTTATGCACGGCAATGGTGAAGAGAGCCTTAAGTTCCTTAACCGAAGTCGGTAACAAGAGATCCTTGGAAGAACTAAACCCTAACCGGTTCAAGCTCGCCTCACTAATGGAGTCGGTCATCGCGAGTATGGAACCAGACACAACCATTCCTCTAACCATGTCCGGATAAGCCTCGGCAATCTTGAAAGCCACCATGCCACCATAGCTAAACCCTACGGGAACAAATTTATCCACGCCAAGGATACGAAGCCCCTTGACCAGACAGTTAGCTTGAAACGCTGGAGACCGGTCCGAGTTATCAGAGTAGGAGCCACCGAAAAAGAGGAGGTCCGGTATGTAAACCGAATACTTCTTGGATAGTGCACCGACTTGAAACTGCCACGTTACGATTCCTTCGGCTGCGAAGCCGTGGATTAACACAACCGCCGGTTTGGTTGGTTTATCCGGTTTGGCTGGTTTTCCGGTACGGGATTTCTTCTTTAGGGTTTCTTTAGGAACCCAAAAGTTCATCTTTGTCCCTGGTTCGATCTCTAAAGTGTAGGGAACGACACCAGCCATTTTCATAAGACCGTTGAGCAGTGGCTTTTGTGCCTCGACCCAGTTCACCATTGTGCTACTGCTGTTTTTGGATTTTTTTTTTTTTTAATTTGTGGAGAGATGAGTGATTTCAGAAGGATCAACTGGGAAGCAACATTATATAAGGTTAGTATGTGTGTTTTAACGCAACTTGTGAAATTGGGTTTGGAAATTATTTTAATGTGTTTGGTGTTAGGTTGTTATCTTGGTTATCTAATTTTCCTTTATTCACTCTTCTAAGTAGAAGTTACTTCTAGAAACTGAAATTGTCATGTTGACCAAATGAATAATTCATGTTTAAAATTTTCTCAATAATTCATATGTAATAAAATATTAAAGAAAATCATGGTGATTCAATAGTCAATTCTAATTAGAGAATATATATTTGTCACGATTATATATTATGCTTTCTGAATTTTCAAACTATTGCATATACAGAAATATATGTTTTTTTATCAAATACAGAAATATATGTTAATTTGAGAATTGAAAGCTTGAATAAATTTACATGAAAAGAACAAACTAAATGCAGGGGTGCTTTTTAGGGAAAAGTACATAGGAATTAAGCAGAAGAAAGAGACAAGGTGAACTATACTCTCTCCCTCTTTGGTAGGGTCTGGCTTAACAACTTTAATTATGGCTGTGGCCAATAATAGGGGTTCAGTAATTGTTTTTTTTTTAGTTGGGTATTAGACCTAATTAATTACATACAGTTGGACAGAGAACCGGTGGATGGGGTCCTTTTACCTTTCATGTAGTTGTTTAGACAACCTGCATTTCCTACTTCCGTCGTTATGTTGAAAATTTTTATTTCCTCGTATAGAAATATTGCGTACCGTATAAGTATTATATTTATGTTTTTCAAACATTATCGCAAGCATAAAAATTTGTCTTTGGTAAACAAACTAAACGTATGCGTAGAATTGGCGGTTGTCCTGGTCCATTATAATCTCCCAAAATTACCTTTAAAGTTTTGAATTAATGGGACGAAAACTTAATTAAATGGGCTTTGGCCAAATACAGTTTATGTTTTGTTAAATTCTTCACACTAACAATGTAAAACATTACAATTTATTATAACCGTGATAAACTAAAGGGTAGAAAGCGTTGGAAGCATCTGAAGCAACTCTTCAAACATTAGCTGCGGCTGAGCACAATGGAGACAACATTATTGTTGTTAGAAAGCGTTGGAAGCCTCTGAAGCAACTCTTAAAACCATGTTGGATAACGACTGCAGCGGAGATATAATCTGAACACTACAACTGTATCTACGTTTCTCAGCATCCATTCTATGAACGAAGCCACGAGTATAAGGATCGCTAAACATCACTGATAAATCAATGACAAGACCTGCATTCAATTTGTTTTACACATTATGAATTTCAACCTAAGTGTCTCACTATATCAATCCATTAATATAACATCTCCCTCTCAAAACCAGAAGCTTTTGACAAAAGAAAAAACAGAGAAAGAAGAAGATTTTAAAGACAAGTTCCACAGAGAGGAATTCAGCAAAGTTAAGGATCGAAAAGGATTTTATACCATACGGCTGAGAAAAGGAGGTCTGGACTCAGTGGCGAGATGGTCGTTGAAATTTGGGAGCGCTTGCCTGTCAAGTAGTGATGAGGGGAGACGATCAAAACAAATCATGATTGTGACTGAGAGAAGAAAGACACGTACGTAGCAGCGCCTTCTGCAAAGCAAAAACAACATCCAAGAGAGGAGACATGATTATAGTTATAAGGCAATATTGTTTAATGAAGCGGACAAGGAACACTGTCAAATACCATTCTCCAAGACATCACCAGAATCTGCTTGTTGTTGTAAGCATTGTCTGTCACATACACCAAATCATTTACATACAAGATCAACAATCTTTGACATCAAACAAGTTACCTTAGGTGGGTCAGAAGCGATCGATATAAGCAAGGCGCTGATTCCCAATGGCTGTAACTCTCTTGATTAAATCGATCGAATAACACGTACGTACGATCAAGAAACTTGATTTTCAGACAAACAAAATGAAAAAAAAAGAAGCAGAAACGTAAAGAGAAAAATGACCAAAATGGCTGGCGTAGATACAGAAAACTTAACAAAACTAGTACAAAACATTATGAGATTGTTTGGACTTGCTATACTTGGAGACACGTATGTCTACAGTTTTGTAGTGCTTGCAAAGTTCATAACAGGACAAAAGACATACAGCATGCCCACCTACCACTGAATAATACGATGCCTTTTAACCTGAGGCTGAGAGTGAGATGAGTTCCGATAAGAATACTCCACAACTGTAATAAGCACTTGTGTGATGTTAGTTCCTAGACGTTTTTTTCGTATGCATGTCATTAATTGATCGTGTACAAAAACCAACCTCCAAGCCCATAGAAGCTCGATATTTCTATAGATAATTTGTCACCAGTTTTTGTTAATAATCAGACCTTTAAGTTCTTAACACTGACGATAAATTCTCTAGAAAATCTCAGAACCCCCGCAATATTAGTCTAGTTATCTAGAAAAGCATAAATTTATTTTTGATGAGACTAAGACTTGATCAACAAGAAAAAAAGATGAGACTAAGACATATTGACAGGCACAGTTACATGTGTTGACGCCCACGTAACTATCTCACTCAAGATGTACTTGGAAACAATAGAAGCGAACACGAGATGTAAAAAAAGGTTCAAAATCAAGACACAGAGACAAACACTTAAGTTAATACATAAGAGCAAGCTTATCGGAGAGAGAAGAACTAGATTAATGGATTTTGGTCATCACACTTCGACCATCAATTATTTATAATCGGAAAAAACAGCTCTTCATTGAAGTTGAAGGTTTTAGTTGGGCAGATACCCCATCAGTTCTTAGCATTCATTGTTACACACTCCATAAGCCAATTATTATTGTGTAATATTTGTTATCCAACACCACCCACCAAACACAGCCAGAGAAACTATAGTGTAAGAACATCAACAAGAAAATAAACTCAAGCTATAACATTCGAAATTATATATGGGTTTACTAGGCGTAGATACAGCTAACCTCCCTGGTTTAATAGAGTAGATTGGTTTAACTGAGTAACTGATCACAGTTTTAGAAAACTTCCGAAAACGAAATTTTGGATTAGTAATTCAATCGTAATAATAGTTGCGAAAGAGACAAAAAAAAAGGGGTCCCTAGTAAACAATTTTGATCCAGCTCTAAGCATATACATGTAAACATTAGGAAGACTTTTCCAACGGTCACAATGAAAAGTTTCTTTTTGTCACCCTAAGTGGATGAGCCTTTGCTTAGCTGCCTGTAATCCAAGTTACATGGTTAATTTTCGTCATTGCTTACAGATGACCAATTCCTAATCCCCTAGCGCCAATTGCCAATGCAAAACGAGACCATAATAATTGTAATGTAAAATCAGATTTCAGATTAACATGAAAAAAAGATAAGACAGATCTGGGTGGATTCGAACCACCAACCTCTCATAACGAGAGGTTTACCATTTTGAGCTTACAGATCTACTTCTAATACCTACCTTTCCCGCGTGATCAAGGCACATGACTTTTCAAACTTTCTCCACATGGAAGCAAAACCAAACGCAAAAGATCCCTAGGCACAATAAAACAACTCCATTACCAGATCAGAAGATATGGATCAACATATAAACCCTGTTTTGACATTCAACAGTTTTCATTATTGAATTATAGTATACTCTGAATAAGAAAAAATCCATGAATAAATAGAAACATTAATCCATATAACAGAACCATATCCGAGTATAATATGCAGAAGTAAAATACAAACATTGTAACTACAATGTACAAACAACATGGTTTTATTCATACTACCAACAATTAAAAAACTCTCAACAAAGAAACAAGAACCTTGGGCTCCATCACAAAAAGACTTGTTCCAGATACCAAACTTCTCATTAAAAGGTCTTCAAAGCCAATTGCAGCAATAGGAAGGTTAAAGATACATACAACTATTTGATATACTTTTAAGTTGCGACGTAAAAGTGAATACAAATTCTCAAACAAATGCTAAGTACGTAGATATGAAGCAAATAAATCTCATCGCAATTGTGCAAGACAGATGAGCCAATGTAGTGTTTTTGGAGATGGTTTCCGAGTATAAAAGCATGAGCCATATTAAAACAATTAGATGTCAATGAATAGCTGCGGAAATTAGATAGTAATGCAAATTAAATAATTGTAAGTACCTTTGGTCTCCATGGAGTAGTATGTGGATTTAGATATGCCTGTGCGGTTGAGATATTTTGGTGATTTGAGATATGAGAGAGTGATAGAGAGAGAGAGAGAGAGGTGCAAGACACAAAAGGTGAGGGGAGAACCCGGGCTAGAAAAATTATGTTTCCCCATGCGAACTCCCCTCACCACAACACGAAACGTTTTTTTTTATTAGGGATTTGTTGTGACCTGCCATGCAAGCGCACCTGTCATGGCAAAGGTCGGATGACAAAGATGCTAATTCAGAACTCAAGCCTCAGGCTATATCGTCCCTAACAAACATCTCATACATCCATTAACTCAATTCAATTCACATATCTGCCATCATCATCCTCCGCCTCTTCGCTCTTCTTCGATCGCTCCTCTTGGATTCATCAAGATCAACACCTCATCAAACCGCAACGAGCATCACAGATCCGACGAACCTAGCGGCTGAAGTCATGCTGCGAAATCAGATCTGAGAATCCGAAAGCAACTAATCAATAAGATTACAAAGGAATTCAATCGAAATAAACGACTCAACGATCAGATCTAGCTACGATAGGCAATAATTACCATCTATTCAACCGATCGTCGGAGATCTCAGCCGCTGGGATCCGTCTTCTCGCCGTGATTCAAACCGGATTCACTAGATACATGCGGATACGACGCCGATCTGTAGATCGAGAGTCCCGATCTACATCGGAGAGACTTCGAGACATCTAAGTACCCGCGAGAGGGATCTAGCGAAAAGCGATGAAGAAAGAGTTGAAAGAATCATAAGAAACGCGGGTATGAAAACCTAAAGAGATCAATGCGTTTACTTTTATACACAGTGTCAGGACTAATGGACGGACGAGATCATATTATTAGATATAAGATCAACGGTCTATGTGAGTTACGTGTTTAGGGGCGTTTTTAATGAGAGGCGGTTGTTTAATCGACAGCTAATATGGGTTGTTGGATTTCATCGTCGTATACCTAATCACGTTTACTTTAGGATTCCCTTTACTTTATTGGAACAAAAAATCTGCATTTTCCTGACGATTTACATCACGACTTTTCCATATTTTTAATTTCTTTTTCTATTTTTGCCTGACCAAGAAAGTCAGAAACGCATTATTTTCTATGGGATAAATATTTGGGTCTCACACCTTCTAGATAAATCGTCTATTTTATTTGCTGATTTTTTATAACGGCCCATAATTATAAATGGGCTAGTACAATGCCCATGATCAAATTTCTGTAGCTGCTCGGAAATCTAATCAATACGGATTGATTCTTTCTTTTTTTTGACTGAACAACGCATAGTGATTTTATGTTCTTCACTGTTCTCTTATTTTCTTTTGGACAAAGATTATATGTTCTTCACTGTCTGTTTACAAGAAGATGAAGACCGGACGCTTTCAAGCAAACCAGCTCCGATCAAATCACTCACTCTTCCTTAAGCTCCTTAAACCATCTGATCATCGACCATCTTAAACCATAGAATGAACATTTCAAAACCTCAAAGTGAAACTGTAAATCAACGTCTCATACCATCCCTCGGGAAGGATAAGATAGGTTAGGTTCTTGGGTAAGTAGATTCTTTTCATAAGCCTAATGTTCTTTTTATTGTTTCAGATGTGGTTTTGTGATGATCTGATGCCCACACGTATGTATACTCAAGCAGGCACACTTTTATGAGAAGAGGATCTGTTTGACATACACCGTCCGTCCGATTACTCTAAACTTAAAAGAGCATGACATCTTCCCACGTGCTTGCATAGTAAAGCTTTACCATATCCAATCCCACGCTACAATAATCTTTTTGCTTTCGTCTATAAATTTTTTTTAAAAAACCATAAATTATCGCCAAATTGGCCTTTCAAGTTAGTTGAAGAGTGAATGGAGGCGGCAAAAGAACAAGACTTCCTAACTGCCATTTAAAATCCCAACGTCTTGCTTCACCATATTCAGAACATTAGCGCCAAAACTCACATGTTTTTTTCTGTTTCTTCAACTGACTTTCAAAAACTATATCCTAACCAAACATCAACACAAACTACTCATCCTCGTCACTTGGAACATCATCACCTGAAGAACCATCATCATCACTGTTGTCTGAAGAAGGGGAAACAGGATCTCCATCATCAGCCTCATCTCTCTTCCTCTTAAGGTTAGATGATGCGATTGAATACACAGCCTGCACTTCATCGTCTGACTCTTCCTCATCTACTTGGACTGCTTCTGCCACGGATTGACCTAGGCCTCCTGTTCCATACTCCTGTCAAAACTCATATGTTAGTTTCACACAATAAACAGTCATGAACACACAACAAGGAAGTAAATCTCACCTCTTCTTCTTCACCATCCTCAATGGCGTCTTCGTCTTCTTCTTCCAAGCTCTCGTCATCATCCTCGTCTTGCTCATGCTGAATCTCTCCAATCAAGATGTTCCTCAGCAACTCATTCCCATGTTGCACACCAAGATCCACCTCCTCCACGCCCTCGCCTTCGCCCACATCTTCCTCCTCCATTTCATGCGTATCATCAACAATCAAACCATCGGGTGCATAATCATCATCTTCCCCATCAGTGTCGTCATTTTCTTCTCTGCCAATATCCATAAGAACATCTTGAGCTCCGTTTGCAACAAAATCGTTCACCCAATCCGGTTGCCTTCCCGCTTCAGCCACTTCCTCACGGTCATCAAGCTCTCCACGTATGTCTCTTTGCAGCATCTCTTCCTCGGCCTCGCTCTCCTCTTCCTCCTCAATATCATGTGTATCATCAACAATTAAACCATCCGAATCATAATCATCTCCTTCGTCACTATCATCGTCATCATCATCTACTTCTTCGTCCATATTCATATGTGTATCTCGTAACCCATTCGCATGGTCACTCACCCCATTCGTCGCTGTCTCTTCCTCATCAGTTTCACTCTCTTCTTCATCAACCTCCACAACCCCTTCATTGTGCCCATTGCTCACCACATTTGGCCTCTCCTCACCATTATCATCTCCATCCTCATCAGCTTCACTCTCTTCTTCATCAACCTCCACGACCCTTTCACTATGTCCATTGCTAATCACATTTAACCTCTCCTCACCATCATCTCCATCCTCATCAGCTTCACTCTCTTCTTCATCAACCCTTTCACTATGTCCATTGCTAATCCCATTTGACCTCTCCTCACCATCATCTCCATCCTCCTCCTCCTCCTCGTCGTCATCATCATCATTATCATTATCATTATCATTATCATTATCCTCATCCTCGGACTCTGGAATTTCATTCTCCTCAGCATCCATCTTATCCAAATACTTCAAAGACTTAACCAACCCGAAAACCCTAGCCCGATAATCCTTCATCCGCGTCACAGGGCACTTGTACAAATCAAGCGACACAAGCTTCAACTCAGCTAACGGCAACAAATCCTCAAACAACCCAATCCTATTATTCGATAAATCAAGGTCACGCAGCGAGCCCAAGCCCGCCTGAACTAAAAACTCAAGCCCACCAGAGATTCTGTTGTCAGATAAGACGAGCTTCTGTAACTTCCCAAGCCGAGGGAACCGATCAAGCGAAGAAACTCCGATGCTAGCTATAGATAAGTGCTCCAGGTTCGGATACTTCTCGAGAATCTCGGGACGTGGCAAGTGTCCGTTGACGCACTTCACTGCACCGTCGAGAGTGAGGACACGAGTTGTCTCCGGCTCCGTTTCCCCCGCTAACGCCGTTTCCACGGCTTTCTCCCAGATCTCATCCATAACTTTATAAACCTAATCCACTAATAGATAGATATAAACTTCAATAAGGCTCGGATAATTTCAAAAACACGAGAACAAGGACGAGTGCTAACGTTACCGGTGAGATGAAAGAAGCTGTTTCGTGAAACAATCAAACCGTTAATTGGAAGTAAGAGCTTGTGCGATTGAAAACCCTAGCTTTTTCCTTTGTTACGATTGCAAAAGAAAAAAAAAACAGAGATTATGAAAGTGGAAAGAGGGATGAAGAAAGAAACACAGATCTTAAGAGAGAAGGTGAATCATAAACGAATCCGAGCCGGATTTCCATGAGACGAAGATTGCTGACGTGGGATGAATGGACGGTACAGATCGCTCATCTTTGTGTTTGTTCGTAATATTACGAATTTACCCCCTCCCTCGTCGTTATCTGTAACACGTCACACTTTTGCGCGTGAATGTGAACACCGTCACAAAGAAAAAAAAAAAAAATTAACCATTGATTAAGGCTAAACCAAATTCAATTGCTAACCAAAGTATAAACCGTAACAAGTGCATTTGTCACACCAATTAGACCATAAATTTGTATAAACCATAGAACAACGATGAAGAATTTGTCGTATTACGTGCAAAGACAAGAGTAGCTACTTTTGAGTTATGTTGAAAACTAAGGATTGAAGAGAAACATTATGAGGATCACCTTCACACTGAAGACTAATCTAATAGTTTCTTTAGCACAAGTCTTCATGTGGATTATCATTATTAGCGTTCTTGTTTCCTGATTGAGATCCACTACCTCTAATCTCAGCATAACCTGGAGGAAGTTTCGGTGGATGAACAACAGGCATGTTAGGAGAAGAGCCACCTTGCCCACTAGAAGGCCGGAATGTCCAGTTGATTGTGCTGATACCTGAAGATGATGATGGATTTGGAGGGAATTGGCTATGCTGTCTTAGATATATAGGCAATGTGTCCTTATCATCAAGCTGCTGATGCTGCTGCTTATCGAGTTGTTGCTTATCAAAGTCCACAGCACTAAGTTTCGCTGGTTCGCTTATCATATCCCCTGGGTTGGCAGTTCCAAACAGCCAAGGCTGTCTGAATTTCGGCTGCTTATCTTCTTTTCCTTTGGACTGTTGGTGGGCTTGTTCTGAACTTTCAATGGGTTTAACCGATGGCTTGTCCTTGTCCACGAAACTTGGTTCAGGTGGTTCCACGGCTCTAGGAGTTGATGAACGTGTTGTGGAGATTGTGGTTGTGGGGAATGCCTTCTCTGGTGGGACGGCTGGTGTGTAATTAGATGGGAGAAGATCGTCCCAATTCTCTAGAAGTTCCTTATAGACTTTACGAAGGGTTACCTCGGTTAGTCCGGTTATTTTACAAATCTCTGCTTGCGTCTTTCGTTTGTCTTCAAGTTGGCATGCTAGATAGATAGCAGCTGCAGAGATGCTGATCGGGTTTCTACGTGTGCAGAAGCATTTGTTAATCACTACTTCCCCGATATGTGTTGCCAGTTCCTAGGAGATAACAGACAAAGAAAAACAACTTGGGATCAGAAAAGGTATCAGGTTAGTATTAAAAGATCTCACAATGGGGAAATGACATTTGAAAACACTTTCAAGACTCTAGATCTCAATAGAGGAGGGAAACGGTTCAAACACTGATAGATTATACTATCTGTTTTGTTTAGTGACACACCTGAGCAGACTTGTTAAGTTGAAGGAGGGTGCAGAATCTTGGCATGTGAACTGATATGGAGTTGCTGTTGATGGGTTGGCTTAGCTGTAGAGCTTCTCCCAAAATCTTGATGTACTTCCCAATCTCCTTCTGCTGCACATTGGCTGCAATGGAGATCTCCTATAGTCCAAAGTAAGAAACAAGGTATATTAGACAGAGTCCACGGCCAGATTAATGAACTAAAACAAGCGCTGCTTAGTAATGGTCCACATTTGATGGTTACTGCTAACACAACCTGACACAGTCCAAACATATCAGAAAACTAATTGAGGATCAAAAGGCACAGAAGCTTGATTCCTTCCTCCAAACAAGCTTCAGAAACCTAAGCATAGACATGTTCCTAGTTCCTGAGTTCTAAACCTCTGAAAGCAATAGTTTCTCTAGTTATATTCAGACACGACCAAACAGGACAAAACAGCTGTTCAAGAAATTGCAATAACTCTGACAAAAACCATAAAATAGGTTATTCTGTAAACCACCTGAAGAGTCCTAGGCTCTTGAGCTTCCCTAATAGCTTGAACAAGACAAGCAGTAGCCAAAGCCTCAACGCTTCTATTCCTCAAACAAGTAGCCGAACAACAATCCCTAAACAACTGAAAAGCATGCTCCGAAATATCACAATCCAACCCCAAAATCGACGCCACATCAATAATCTGCATATAAGCCCTAATGTTATCCACCACAACCGTCGAAGAATTCGTCGAATTCGAAGCGAGCTCCAACGTTCGTTCCAGCTCAGCGAGATGACCTGAGAAGGAGAGGGAAGTGCGAGCGAAGATCGGGCTGGGCTCTAAGGACCAGGTGGAGAAGGCGGTGATGAACCCCGTGGGCTCAAAGGGATCTTCTTCGTCGTTGGGTGGAGAGGGTTGGGGCGGGGTTTGGAGATCGGGAGTGACGAGGCAGAGAGGAGTGTCTTGCGCTCGGAGATGGAAGAGGTGGTGGTTTTGAGTTTGACGTTCTTCTACTACGCGGCCGCATGAGGAGCATTCTGTGATAGATCTGCCGGAGCTCGTGGTTGCGCAACGTCCTTGCGCCGATGAACAGTACGGACATTTCATTTTTTTTTTTTAAATCGCCGGCGTGTTTCGCTACGTGTGTTAGTTAATAAAGTTATTTATTCAGACGACGAGAATTTGAAAAAAAAAATTGAAAACCGGGTAAAAGAATTTTGGTTAACCGGGAAGGTCTTGGTAATACCGTAATATTAACACTTGATTAAATTTGAAATTACTATATGTTAACCGGCTCAGGATTTTCTTGCAAAATATTACTTGTAAGATTTTTCTTTGTCTTCGAGATTTGACCGTGTTTGCATTATACACACTGCATTTGCGTTCTGTGATAGTGATCGAACAACAAATGCCAGCTTTGGTTTGATTGTGAAATCTTGATTTGATGCAATCTAGAGTAGTAAAGCGTTGACAGTGGGTGAGAATAAGCTACTATAGCACATTCAAGTCTCCCAGGTATTGAAGATCTCAGAAGAAGAAGTATATATGATAAGGATCCATGTTTCTACATGTATATATATAATGAAAGTACTAGCTGTAATGTAATTACCAACCGATAGAATCCGAAAGGAGCAATTTATACCGAGACAAGAAATTTTAATCTCCCCAAATTGAACTACTCATTTGATATAGTTCATCTTTTGGCTTCAGCAAAGTAGAATTGAGCTTAGGTTTATATGTTGTAAATGCGTGTTAAATCACAGCTTCAGCTACTTGCTGCTGGGCTTGTGTAGAATCTTCTTGAAGCTTCTTCCCAAGTCCCTTGCGCTCTGAGAATAAAACCAATAGAAATAAAGAGAGTTCAGATGAATTAGAGCATTCAATAAATGCAACGGAATGATGGAAACTCTAACCATACTTGAACATAGACCAAAAAGCGAGAAGCATAAGAGCAGCAAAGGCCCAGAACTTGTAACGTCCTCTTCCAAACAAGACCGAATCTGAGTTCTCCTTCTTCTGATTCACTGTCGCCGGCAAGACATCTTCCTCCTTCATCTCGATCTCAAAGGTTTAAATTTTGCGTGGTGTTGAGGATTACAACAGAACCTGAGCTCAGTTTCAGTACATTCTGTGTCGGCTCGATTTTGATCTGAGCACAAGTACACACTCTCTTTCACTATTAACTGGGCCCATTGTTTGCTAGTAACTGGCAATGTACGAGCCGTTGATCTAGAATTGATAATTAATGCTAAAACCTCCGCGCCGATCGTGACCGTTGGTTTATAATTTGTTAAAAGCCACACACAAATACCAAACGACAGCGTATTCAAAGATAAAAGGAAGTCGCTTTCGTTTAAGGACTTTTGAAATTTTACTTTTTGATTGGAAGATAGTAGAGACGATTTCCCGTAGCTATGAATGGTGTGATTCTCATTGTAGCTACGATAATTCTGTCGTCCGAAGCGAAAAAATAGCCAGTCCGGTCCGAGTATTAATTGTGGCCCAATCCATCTATAATTTTGGCCCAGTTTCTTGATATTCCTCCCTAGTTTTCTTTCCTCAAAGAGAAAACATGTCAAGTTGATTTGAGTATGTGTTTGGGTGAAAGCCTAAACTTTTTGTCTGTCGTAACACGTTTTCTGATAAGAACAAATATTTTGACAGATTACTTATAGGGTTTGGACCGAACGTATGCATGCTCTTGAGCTTATTGTGAGTAGTCGGTGTAAACTAACTTTACATGCATATCCTGCTTGAAAATTGAGATTGCTCACTCTCAAATCATATAATTTTCGTGACTGGATTCTGTATGGAGAAGTTAAACAAATCCATGATCTTTAGTTGGCAGATTAGCTCAAAGTATATGTGTACAAGAAGACTACAGGTTAATTCACATGTACGTGTATATATTTCTTAAACCTTAGCTATACGGATTCAAAAGAGATATAACTACGTGCGAAGACTTCATGCGGTTAGCCAATACACGTACGTACTTAAAAATGGCAATACCAAGATTGATAGAGTCAAACAAAGTTGTAACGTATGAGAATTGAAGACACTAACTATGATGCGAATTGACCTAGAAATTGTGTAACTGACTTTATGAGAGGAAAAAATATATTCGTTGGAAGTCAAGTTGAGGACGACGTGCGTGTGTTTGGGTAATTGTTGGCTCGTGGACAAACAACTTTTATATCTCAAGTCTCAGAGCTGTTATCACATCATACCTTATATGGTCATAAACAGTCCACATGTTTGGTTCTGCGAAATGGAAGAGGTACGCTCTACAATCACATCATATGTAACACTAATAACGTACGCAAGAATATTAAAAAAATGGTTCCCATATAGGACTAAGATGGGATCAGTGAAGCCCCTAAACATCTTTAGAATCACATAAACATAGTGAATTTTGAAATTTAGTAGACAAAGACTACAACATTAAACAAATAGTTTCAATCAGATTCATCCTATGATGGATTTATGATATTCACAAATTGGTCTAGGTGTGAATGATACTCACCATAACACCATATTCACAGTTGGGTTTTATAGTGAGTAGAGCACCTAGTAATACTAAATTTGTCTCAACTAGTTTCAAATGATGGAAAAATAGTATTTATATACTCCCTCTGTTCCTAAAAGATCTATATTCTAATTTTTTCACACTTTTTAATAAAACACAATAAATTTGCATAGTTTTTTGTATTTATCTTCTTTCCATAATTTTAAATCAATCAAAAATCAATTAGTGCAATTAAGTTTTTTGAAGTTTACAATTATTTAATAAAACATACATTGAAAATGTAAAAAATATATCTTTTAGAAACAAATTTTTTTTCTAGAATATGTATCTTTAAGGAACGGAGAGAGTATACAATATTTGTTTCTTTTGACTGAATTTATATATACAATGCTTTGTTTCTAAAAACATTTATACCATCTTTACAAGCAACAGAGCCGATTCGGGAATTGATACGTTGGATAACAAATACCAGAAGATACATGATCGTAAACCCCATACAAATCAATAGATATCATAATAAAAACCAAAGAACAAATATATGATCAGACATACTGCAAAGATAAAAAAAAATTAAAAACGAATGATAACATTTTGGAAAAGTGTTACAAAAGATAGTATTAATTAATTATAAAACGTGTAAAGTAATATATTCTTTGAAGGGGAGGGAGAGTCTCACAAAGCATGTTGTGACTACTCAATGTGTTGCAAAACAGAAGATCCTCCATTTGTTTCCTTCTATTATTTTCTTTTGCCGGTACATTATTGACAATATATTAATATTTTACTTTTTTATTTTAGTTTCTTATTTTTAGTTTTAGGCCGATTTAAAATTTTACCACCAGCAGCTAACTCACAGCGGTGAAATCTAGCTACTAAACTTTAAAAGCTGGCTGAAAACATAGTACATGTTCTACTGCAAACACAGGAAAAAACATAAACCAAAAAAAAAAAACTAATCTACTTCAGACAGAATAATATAGTTACTAAATTTAGATGAATCTGAATTAGATTTATTGAAGATTCATTATAATACATACTTATTTTATTTATTGAAGATTCATTATAATACAGGTTTAGTAATATAGCGCTTATTTAATCTCAGTAATATGCTTCTCTTTTAAATCTCAGTAATATATTAGATATCACAGAAAGATCACCGTTAATCAGTTATAAATTAACCATTAGTGATAGATGATTCCTTTCATTGCGTATTGTCGAACTAACATAGTTCTGATAAACTTCAATTAATAAATATTTGTCTCAAACCTTTTTTTCTATCGTTCATGCCCTTGTGGGAAAGATGTTTTAGACCGATGTTCATTTGTAATATTTAAATAAAAGTATTTTATTTATTTATGAGTGACACAAAATAAGAATCTACCATTAAAACAAGTTATTGCTTTTGTGACCATGAAGCCTCTCTCTCTTTTAGTAGAAGGAAGAAGCGTCTGGTGTCGTGGATCATCGGCCTCTCTTTCCTTTCCTTACTTCCTAAGTATAAGACTTTATACAAAACTTTTTCTCTGTGTGTGTGGCTAGTGGTTTTGAATAATATTTTCCCAAGAAAATACGCAACTGTGTCAAATTTACTATGCAAACTACTATCAGAACTAAAACATTTAACATACGAATACAAATATTACTACCATGCACATAGATCTCGTATCATCTTAATGAGGTAACACTCACTATACACCACAGTACATATTCAAATAGTACCAGTACAAAAATTTACAGAATGAGGCAGTGGAAGAATGTTGGTAACGAGAGAATCCATTGGTCGATCAGTAAAAGAATATTGGCAGAGTGGGAATATAAGATATGATCGTTCATTCGTTTGTTTTAATATATGATCACGTGTGTAATAAACATAACTTGTTCTAGTTACCAACATTATTTATGAAAATTAATCATCTTCTTATTCCAAATATCGGGGTCATATATGTAAGATTTTGTCCTATTTGGAGACATTAGTATACGCAGAACATTTTTCAGTCAATATTTTATTAAAAGGTTCGTTACCGAATACTACCGGATTTAGATAAATAGTTGTACATATAGGTACATCTGTTTTTTACCGAATTAGCTGTATGGAAACATCGACAAAAAAACATGTGATATTGTGATATTCTAATGGAGGTTTGTACACTAACAAGACGTTCGGAGCATAATGGAAACGTAGTTTCACGTATACGTGCTTTTTATTATTGAAGCAGCAAAAATATGTAATTTAGTGGGTTTGTATTAGTGTTGTCATACTACCCTTCACAATACATATTTTTATAACTAAATGGTGTACTATTAAAATCGAAACATATTTGATTTTGGTATAACATTTTGAGATTAAAAAGAGATCGAAAAGATTTATATAACTCACCGGCGACTGCGTTGTGTTAAAATCATTAAATTTGTGTTCCACAATTAGAACTCTGACAGTCTCATTGTATCTCATGTCTGATCCTCGAAGATAAAAAAATGCAAGGTATAATCTACATGAGACTATGATCCAAGTGGATCCCATTGCACGTAAGTGTTCACACGATCGAATATATTAAAATTTAAGCATTATTACTTCTCTTTTTTCTACAAATATATAAAGAAAGTAACCAAAATGAGGAGTTAGTCATGAATTTAACATTAATAACTAAAGAGAGAGCTGCCGCAAAAGGAACTTTAGTAGTTTAGTGTGTTCATTGAGCCGCTACAACGCATAAAATCTACATTATATAGAACATATAAAGTTTAAAGATTATAAAGACAGTTTTTTTGTTAGAAATAAAAAGTTGAATAAGTGACTAATGATAGGAACCTTTTTCCACGTTAGTAAAGGTTGCATAACGTCTTGATGAGAGGAAACTTTTCTCCACCATATCTATTAAAGTATAATCTATGCAATATTTTTTGTATATTGAATGATTTTCGTTATACACACAAAACACATATTAACATAACACACACATTGACGAAAGGCTATTTCAATCGTTTACGCTCGGAATTAATGAATTATCAACCGAATATGATGAATGGTTTCAAACTTTAAATGTTTTCTAAATACAAGGAAAAAGAAAGTATATTCAAAAGAATGTGGAATGGGTTTTGTAGTTTTATGGTGCATCAAAAAAAAAGAGAAAAAAAAAGATCATTTCCCATGAAAACGAAAGCAATAAGTGAAGATGAGAGAACATATTCTTCTTTCTTTCTCCAGAGAGAGGAGAAGTGGGGGGCTAAGTAAGTAGTGGGCGTGATTCTTACGCGCTGACTTAATGATCAGTCAATCTCGGTTCGGTAAATATCAAAATGTATCCAATGGCCCATGGGCTTCTAAGCCACTATCTCCGACAAAATTACCTCAAAAGTAAGCAGAATAGTGGGCCCACTCACTTTCCCCTGCTTTTTACCGTGTCCAAATGTGGGATCCACATAAAGCCCAGTGGTCACTCCCTCTCTCTCTTCTTTCCTCCTTTTTGGTCGCAAGCTCCGGGAATTATTGTCCGTTAACATTTTTGTTTTTGTAAAATATTTTATAATTCCGTATAAAAATTACCCTATATTTTTTTTCTCATAATTTAACTGATAATTTATATATCAATCCATATAAAATTTCATTGCGTTATATGATATTGCATATAGTATGTAATATATCAGGATGAAAAAGGCTCGAAAATCCCACACTGACAAAAAAGATTAATCATTAACCTTTTTGTAACTTCCTTTATCAACTTTTACCTTCTTGATGATGATCATTGATCAACGTAGTGGAGGCCTGAGTGGAGCCTGTATCTCTTTCAGCCGAATTTTTTTTAAAGCAGAGGAACTTTATTTGTATTTCAGCCCTTTGGAAATTTGCTAGTTGTGTAATATAGACTTTTGGGATATATCATGATTAATATTAGTATTACATGACACAGAAAACCGAACTGGCCTCGGCGCTTTTCTTCTCAACTCATGACTTTGGCCAATCTCCCAAGTGCAATACACTACGTTGTTACACTTTGGTTAAACCAAGGTGAATTAAAACATAAACACACACTAAAACAACCAATTTAATCCCTTTATTTTGGTAGAGAAAAAAAAATGAAAATTACTGAAAGAGACAGGATAGTAAGAATTTGAATCTGGACTAAGAAAAATCAGAATAAAATACAAGTCAATTTCCAATTGGATTTTTCATATTCCCTAAACCAAAAACCCGGATTAGACACGGTTACCAAGTTAAAAAAAAAAAACATTTTTTGCAAGCACTTTCTCAATCTAGGATAAAAAGCTTGCCCATCATACCTTTCAAAAGCCCCGCCACCTTCTTCTCCCACACTTGCACACAGAGAGAAAAAAAAAAGACTTTACTTCTTTTTTTCTTTCTTTCCATTTTTTCCTTGCTTCACCTTTCTTTCTTACATTAACATGAAGATCCAGACATCATCTCCTCAAGACAACCAACCATCGAATACAACTAACAGTACTGATAACAATAATAACAACAATCCGTTACCATCGATGGACGAACATGTGATGCGATCCATGGACTGGGACTCGATCATGAAGGAGCTTGAGCTAGACGATGAGTCCACACCTAACCCCATGAAGACAGAGTTCACAACAACAGACTCAGCAATAGGCCCACTCTACGCCGTCGATTCAAACCTCCCTGGCTTCCCCGATCAGATCCAACCGTCGGATTTCGACTCATCCGATGTTTACCCTCCTCAAAACCAAACCACCGGTTACGCTTTCAATTCCCTCGACACCGTCGACAATGGAGGAGGTTTCGATTTCATCGAAGATCTCATCCGAGTCGTGGACTGCGTCGAATCAGACGAGTTACAGCTCGCTCAGGTGATCTTATCACGTCTCAATCAACGCCTTAGATCACCAACAGGTAGACCGTTACAGAGGGCAGCGTTTTACTTCAAGGAAGCTTTGAGTTCCCTTTTAACCGGATCAAACCGGAATCAAACCAGGCTATTATCATCATGGACCGAGATTGTTCAAAAGATCCGTGCCGTTAAGGAGTTTTCCGGTATTTCCCCGATCCCTCTCTTCTCTCACTTCACCGCGAACCAAGCGATCCTCGACTCGTTGAGCTCACAATCCTCTTCCCCGTTCGTCCACGTGGTGGACTTCGACATCGGATTCGGCGGTCAATACGCATCCCTCATGAGAGAGATCGCCGAGAAATCGATAAGCAGCGGGTTTTTACGAGTCACGGCGGTGGTGGCGGAGGAGTGCGCCGTGGAGACGAGGCTAGTGAAGGAGAATCTAACTCAATTCGCGGCGGAGATGAAAATCCGCTTCCAGATTGAGTTCGTGTTGTTGAAGACGTTCGAGATGTTATCCTTCAAGGCGATCAGGTTCGTCGACGGAGAGAGAACGATCGTTTTGATATCTCCCGCGATATTCCGTCGCTTGAGCGGAATCGCGGAGTTCGTTAACAACCTTCGGAGAGTATCTCCGAAGGTTGTTGTGTTCGTGGACAGTGAAGGATGGACGGAGATCTCCGGAGCGGGATCGTTCCGGAGAGAGTTTGTTACGGCTCTCGAGTTCTACACCATGGTGCTTGAGTCTCTCGACGCGGCCGCTCCTCCGGGTGATTTGGTGAAGAAGATTGTGGAAGCGTTTGTGCTGCGACCGAAGATCGCTGCGGCGGTTGAAACGGCGGCGGATAGGAGAAACGTTGGAGAGATGACGTGGCGGGAAGCGTTCTGCGGTGCGGGGATGAGGCCGATTCAGTTGAGTCAGTTCGCGGTGTTTCAAGCGGAGTGTTTGCTGGAGAAGGCGCAGGTTAGAGGGTTCCACGTGGCGAAACGGCAGGAGGAGTTGGTGTTGTGTTGGCATGGGAGGGCGCTGGTTGCGACGTCAGCGTGGAGGTTTTAAATTTGAGATGAACCGTGTAACTGGTTTGTAGGGGTTAGACTGGTTTGGTTTAACAGAATGGTAATAGAATCGAATTGTACTTACGCCTTTCAATACTTCGGTTTATCGTTTCTTTTTTGTATTTTATTTTGGTGGTTCTAATCTAAATAAGAGAATAAAATAATTGCTTACGGAGAGTCTCTGTGTGAGGAAGAGTGTTTAAATTATTTATAAACAAGCGGAAGTGATCATTGTTGGAGTGTGTAACAACCGACTTTGTCAATCTCGTAAACCGACGTGATGAGTGGATTTGCTTCGCATATTCCTTCCATGGCACTTCTCGGATCCGGATTAACGAGCGAGGTAATGTTTCCTCTTTGAGACCTGTTTTTTATGATCCCTGTTTTTCGGTGGATTAGTCTGTATGTAATGGCAACATAAGCAACGTTTGTATTGTCTTGTTCAAATTCAAGACTACCACCAACAGCGCATTCGGTTCTGTTCTGTATGAATCATATCTTTGAGGGAAATGTTTGTCTTTGTGTACGGAAAATTTCAGGTTGGATTACGAGTACTGTTGTCTCCAGTTGGTTCCAATATCGTACTTCGTACCGCATGGTAAGATTCTTATTTTGATGTCGTTAACTTGTGAAGCTGGCAAGGGGGGTAGGGACAAGAGTCAAATTCCCTGTTGAGGGATCTTGTTGTCTTTTTATTTTTTTTTCAATAGAAAGGTTTTGTTTTCTTGCTGTTTTAGGGGTTCTTTACTCTATTAAAAGGTGTAGGCTGTAAAGGAAAGTTCTTACTGTTTGTCTGAATGTTGATTCCTGTAGCTGTTCCATTGGGATCGGGTTGCCTGTGTACTCCACTTTCAAGGCAATAGAGAATAGAGATCAGAGTGCACAACGAAAATGGCTTATTTACTGGGCAGGTTTGATGATTGTTGACTGCAACTACAGTCACCCTTTCTAACCATCCCCTCTTCTACTGTTCTTATGCTGTTTATCTTCTAGAGTTTATTGCAATCTCCATTGGCTTTTCGTTCACATGGCATATCTAATCATCCTCCGTTCTTTGCAGCTTATGGTTCTTTCAGCCTTGTTGAAGTGTTCACGGACAAGCTCATTTCCTGGTAACGTTGACATCTCAAATAATACATTGACGATTTCCCAATCACGGACAAGATCGTTTGTCTTTATCGTATGCAGAGTGTTGATAATACTTTACTGTTTACAGGTTTCCACTGTATTATCATGCAAAGTTTGCATTCCTCGTCTGGCTTCAACTTCCCAGCATTGATGTACTTTTCCAAGTCTCTTCGTTACCATCATTTAACATTTCAAGAAGCTTTAATTCTGCTATTCTCATTATGCTTTACTTTTTCCGGCCACAGGGAGCAAAACAAATATATAACAACCGTCTTCGCCCTTTCCTTGTGCGACACCAAGGTAGAGTGGACCGAGTCGTGGATGGAGTATATGGAGAAATGGTACGTTATTAGCTTTCTTCACAACTCAGATGATTCTTCATTCTTGAGTTGCTTTTCTACAAATGCTTTATCAAACACACACAACGTTTGCAGGTCAAGGTCGTTAGGACACACCAAGGAGGAGTACGGTTGGTGCGATCAATCATTGTCAAAATCTTGGGATCAGGTTACTTCTCAAACTCTAGCTTTCTATCCCAAACCAACTATTACTATTGTTATTGATTAGAATAATATTCTGCTTGGTGTTTCATCAGGCAGTGAAGCTGCTCCACCAAGCCAACAACAAGAGGAAACACCAAACGAAAGAGCTGAACCAGAACTATCAACAGCAACAATCCGAGATTTAGAAGAATCTGAATCCGATCATGAAGACTAATAAAACAAACAAGTGTAGTCACAGCTTTTACAGTCTTATGTGTAATCACACTATTACACAAAATGTCAAACAGTTGGTATGGTCATGGTCACGTAAATCTCAAATAACTTTAGTCTGCTTCACAAATAAGATCACAATAATGCGTCATAGAGTTCCAAGTTTCCTAAGTGTTAATTTGTTCCTTCTTCACCATCTTTGGAGCCAGCAGCATTCTGTTCTAGATTAGCTACAGCCTCTGGTCCATGCACTCTTAGCAACTCATCCTGTATTATGTCATTCAGTCAACTCCGTATAACTAAATAAAATCAAAGTTGCATAGATTTCATAAAAAAATGGATAAAGAGTTGTTGATACCTGGATAGAGTTGTTCTCAGTCTTGAGCTTCTCACATTCTCCGGAGAGTCTCTGTAACTCATCTCTCAGGCTTTGATTCTCACTTGTCAAACTCTCTACTCTCTGTTGAAGCTGTTCGCACTCCGCCTATATTCAATATGGTGAATAACAGAATGAGTTGTTTAACATCCGAAGCAACCATAGTAAAACAGAGTTTTAACTACATTACCTGCTTCCGCAGTCTGGACCGCCTGGCCGATTCACGGTTAGATTGTTTCCTTTTCTGCCTCTTGAGCTCTCTTTCATCCTGTTGAGCAAACACATGGGTTTATAACCAGACCAGTAAAGATGAATGATGATTTGGTCTTTACCTTCACAGGTACACCAGCCTGGGAAGACCATAAATCCATTCCCATATTCAGATTAGTCCCAGGGGCCAGTGGCTTCATGGGCACTGAACCTTGGATCTCACCAGTAGTATTACTTTGAGAACTTGCTGTTTAAGTAACCATTACGAAGTTAAAAAAATACTTGCGCAAAGGAAAACCATAAGCTTGTGCGGGATGAAGAGCTTACCATCTGCAAGCATTTGTCCAAAGCTCGGCTTTCTACCTGAACCTTGTTCCTACATTATAACGAAACTCAATAAAACATTACACAAAGCATCTAAGTAACAGAGAACAAGTCAAACTCAAATCAGTACCTGGTGATTCGCATTCTCATTTTCATCAGATGAACCCGCTGTGACACTTTCATCACTGCAAAACAAACAAAGCATAATTACATCAAAGTCCCTCATAATCTGTAAATATACACTGAATAGAGCGTTATAGGTAGTGTACCTTTGAGATACACCATCGTTCCCTGAACCAGAAGGCGCCTTCTCACCTCCTTCACCCTTTCTTTTCAAGTTCCCTTTTGACTTCTTGCCAGGTGCTTGATCTTTCACAGTCTCCTTGTTAGTTGGAGCAGAAGCAGGAGGCTACAACAGGAAGATTCCAAGCAAGTTTGTTTTACATTATCATTTGTTTCAAACAGAACAAAATAAACATAAACGATAATGATCATGGTAAAGAGATTACCATGGGCATGCCAGGATGGGCGTAAACCGTCCCTGGAGGATACATGGCTGGGTACGGAACCGGGGTCCCATAAGGCGGCATCATATGGTGCTGAAAGTATTTAACAACAGTAAGTTTAAGTGTTACTCAAAGACAATGATGCAAGGTTTTTTTTTCCAACAATGATATAAGGGAAGCTTACTTGAGCACCCCACATGTAGGGGTGAGGACTAGGAGATCCAACAGGAGATGGGAAAAAAGGATTCGGAGTACCTCCTCCTCCATAATAAGCCTAAGAGAAATGAGAATACGCATTATGTGTTTGTCTAGAAAGAAGACACTAGTCACACTACACTAAGAGAACCAAAAGTGGTTAGAGTTGTGCATGTTAGACGGACCTGCATTGAGTTTGACCAGTCTGGATACGGCGTGGGAGGAATGTCCTGCAAACAAGTGGTAGATACACGAAAGTCAAACACATGTACATTGAATAGGGAGATGCTTATCCAATATAAACGGAGAGAAGAAGAAGAGGATGATCATACCTGTGCCGAGGATGCTGTTTTGGAAGGCGTCTTTTCTTCGCTTGTTCCCATTGTTTTATAAACTACAAAAGGACCAATAATCTGTTAAGACAAAAGACTTGGGAACAGAGGATTTAGTCATCCAAAAAAAAACTCAAAAAAAGACAAAGCTTTTGTGTTCTCTCAACCCGACATATCGAACTAAAACAGAGACTTTACTACAGAACACAAAGTACCCACCCAATAGGAGCAAACTCAAAATTCGAGACGACAATAAATTTAAAACAGAGTCCAACGAAGAGCAAAGCAAGTATATGAGTATGTTTTTAAACGAATCCAACAGCAAAAAACAAAATCCCCCAGTCTCTAAAAATCACATGAACTATGCATGAATTGTTCACCTAAACAAGCCTCGAATTACAGAATTGTTCAATCAATAGACAATCATTCATAACAGAGGGTACATGCAAAAGTGTCTGCATAGAGATAAGAGATATTAGAAAAAAAAAGAAAAAAAAAATCAGACCGATGTGGAAGTCCAGCTAGGATATTTACCTAAAAAATTAAAGAGAGAGTCAGACAAAGATGCAAGACACGTCCTCTCCTAGACAGACCCAGCAAAAGTTTACAAAACTCAGGTCGTACCTTCCAATTGTTTCTCAAGAGTTGAGTTTCTCTCGGGAAAGTGAAGCAGATAGGAGGAGAGATGAATTAAAAAAAAATAAAGAGAGAAAGCTTTGAGATTATTGCCCGATCTGGTGTGTGTGGCAGAGTCCGATAGGAAGAGAGGAATGCGAATGAAAGAGGAAAGTTTTTTCTTTTTTTTTTGGGATTTTAGGGTTTTTATGATTTGACACGTGCGACAAGGAGCTGTCCAGCTGTATACGTGTTACTGGATAAGGTTTTGACACGGTATCTAACTCTTTGTTGTGACTCATCTAACTCCATTTATTATTTCATTACGATACTAATCTTTTTTTTAGCAAAGCATTCGGATACTAATCTTCCTTTTTTATTTGTCAACTAGGAAAATATAATTTCTTATTAATAAAAATATACCACTATAGAAAAAAAATAATTTAGAGCTTATCTGATGAAAATGGTAATTTTAGATTATATTTTTTATTTATTTATTAGGACTGTGACTGACATTAACTATAATAAAAGAGTGGAAACAAAAAATTTAATATGCGTGAAAATAAAAATTAATTTCAGAGTAAATTTTTTTCTTACAGTTAATCATGAAAATGCATTACCTTATATTTACTCTATTTTTATACTTTTCTAGCGTAAATAGGTAGAATTGACATTTATATTGGACAAATCTACTGTAACTCGGCTGAATATTTTGTTACTCTGATTTATTAACGTCAAATGTTTATGCAGTCACACTCTAGATGAGTACTGTAATCTTTTGAAATGGTGCTTTAATATTTTTTTTTCCTGCTTGTTATAGTGCAACTTATTTGGATTTTCGAAACAAAACTAAACAAATGGAAAATAATTTTTAGTCCTATATTTTTAACTTGACACATCAAAATTTCGAGATGATAATGACTATGGCTTATAACTTGAAGATTTGACTAACAAAATTGTTTTAATTTTTTTTTGAAAAAAAAAACTCATTTACGTTTCACCCAAAAGATACATCAAAATCATAATTCTATTGTTTAAGACGGGCTCCTAACAAAGCTATTCCGGTACTCAGATGACATTTAAGGGCCCATCGGGCCTTATTTTATAAGCCGCTTTATTTCGTTTCCTTAGTTGCTAATTGCTAGCAAAGGGACTGATCTTGAATAATATAGAATCTTTTGTGGGGCATTAGCATAACCATTTAGCACTACTTAGGTGATTGATGTGACTGGTCAGTGGTCACCATAAAAAGAAAGGTGACAAACTTTATTCGTATAAGGACTTAAGACAATATAATTCAACACACTAGATACAGTGAATGTGTTGCGAATACTTGAAACAAATCGTTTTAGGAAAGAGCCATTACACTACGTTGCTTCACACTTCGCTTTATATTTACCCAAATTACATCAAACCCTTTACTTATTCGCCAAACCTTTCTTCGTGGGTCCACAGTTTCTAAACTTTCGAGACCAGATTTTTTTCCTCAGGATTTAGTATATGTCTAGATCAAAAATATCAAAACGTCAATCAATATCCTGAACAGCTTAATCAAATATCTAATAAGGATGCATGTCAAAACAAAACAAAAACAACTTTGATTTATCTGTATACATATTGCTCTGCAAGTTTTTCATTTATTATTAAGTTGTTTGTCAGTAACAAAAATAATAATTAAATTGTATGATTAAAGATCCTCAAATCAGGTCAAAAACAGTTTGATTTTCAGAATATATGTGTGTAGTTGTTCGAAAATCATTTTATGAATGTATCACAAACAACACATTGAAAAAGGGCTTGCGAAAATCAAATTAGATGATAGTTCGAATCCACAAATTTTTTTTTGAGAGCCTCAGGTCCATTTAACTATTCATCTTGATATATTATATGCCTATGTAACTAGATGATAATTGTAATCGTGTTATGTTTACGATTTTGATATGACTGTTGAGACATTTTCACTTTATGTATGCGATTCTTATACCGATGATATTGTCGATATATTACTTATAGAGCCAATATGACTGTTCTCTAACTTTAGTATAGGCTTTACTCATTCTTAGACAAATGACTGTAAAACTTGACTCATAATGTTTCACCAAAATTAGGTATATTCTATCCGGACACCTCTTCCATTTAAATTTGGCAAACTCTTATCCATCGAGATATAAAGTTTTAACAACCGTTTTGCTCATGTGCATTTCATGTAGTCATTTATCTTTTAGACTCTACAGCATACATATATATATATAAACAAAAATCATGCATCACATTGTAGCCGACCCTCCTTTTGCAGCCGTACTTTTTTCTTGTAAAAATATATATTTGAATAAAACTATGACGAGCTGCTAGTGGCGTGCTATGTATTTGTCACTTTCATGAATGAATCCTACCCATCAATTGAGCTAAGCTAATATATATAACTCAACTAACCTAATCAACGAGGTGTAAAACTTTCATATATTAGAACAAGGATACGGTAAGTAAAACTTATATAGAACAAATTATGTAAAACTTTCGTAGCAAAAAAACTTATATAGAACAAATTTCCCTTAACTATGCATGTGACCTATATTGATGTTATTTAAAGTATACAAACATTGCAAACTTGTAACAAGAAACATTATACGAATATATGAATGAATAGGTTAAACGCCACAACAGAGGGTGAAAACCTAAAATATGTAGTTGCTTCATTAATTAATACAGATTTCTCATAATTAGCCACGTAAGCAACTGTTGCTTACATGATTGCCAAATTACATTAGCGACACACCCATCGTAGTTATATCTATTTGTACATGAGAAATAGAGCACTTATAAAATCTACTAATTTACTTAAAAATAGTCTTCCCTAATTCACGACACTAACTGATAAGCTAGTGGTTTCATATGTATAGATTCATCCATTCAGTTTCATCCATGTAGATGTTTTCCGGCACCGGATAAAATAGGTCATTGTAGTCGTAACCGTCGTCTCCAACTTTATAGTCTCCAAAAAACGGCGTCTCATTAGCCTCCACAGAAACTGAAGAAGAAACTGGACTGTTGCTCGAGCCTCCTTCTACTCTTTCTGCCAATCTTTGGATCTCCCTCTCTGCATCATAGAGTTGTTCCTTGAGCTGAAGAAGCTGAGGAACACAAATGTAACGTTAGTTTAATCATTAAACAACTAATCACTGATGCAAACGTTTGATTAAATTTTAAACGAAGAGGACTCTTATGATAATGGGTCTCCTCAATAATTTTGAGTCCCATTGACAAAGACAAGCGACTATTAAAAAGATTATAATATTGTACGGAACGGATAAAAGTATTTGATGTTGTGTAATATGGTGGCAATTTACTGTTCGATGTCGCTTTTCTTTTCTCAACTCAAAGTCTCTAATGTCTAATTTATTGCTTTTTAAAACAAAGTTCTTCGAGCCTTGAGCTCACGTTCATTTCTACCAATTAAAGACAATTTACCAAAAGAATGTTTAAACTAATGTTTTTTTTGTTTTGCTAAAATGTATAAACTACATTGCTGTTTGAGAAAATAAGATTGTATAAAATAAAACAAAGAACAAGGTAAACAAAAAAAAAATATGTATTAAGAATTTTATGTAAAAAGTTGAAAATATCTATTTCCTTTTTTTTCCTAAAAATATGAATTAAGATATAAATTTTATTGAAAATATTTGTTTAGTATATCTACCATTAGTATCATTATCACAATCGTGGATACATTTGATCAATGATAAAACCTAAAACCATTCCCTAACCGTAATAAAATTCATATACTTTTTTTTATTTTTAGAAAAGGTTATACCTCTGACTCAAGTCGGCACTTGTCGACAACGACGTTGTCATGTGAGTTTTTGAGTTTGTTGTACTCTTCCTCGAGCCTTTTGTTCTTCCACCGTGCACGACGGTTCTGAAACCAAACTGCAACTTGACGAGGGTCAAGCCCTAGCTCCGCTGCAAGTTTATCTTTCCTCTCCGACTCAAGCTTGTGCTCATCCCCAAAACTCATCTCTAACATGTTCACTTGCTCATCAGTAAGCTTTCTCTTTCTAAAAAAGCAGTTGCTTCCATCTCCGGCAGCAACAGCTGCTTTGCTCTTCTTCCTCCTTCGTTTCGGTGGCTTCACTTCACCTACACACCAAAATAATTAATAGCAAATATAAGTAATTTGGTAAAAATAGAAACATATTTTACTGTATTTTAGTTTGGATTTTTCTCTTTTTTTTTTAGTTTCTTGATGTATGTTTACATGCACGTATATTATAGTATTAATTTTTTTTAGGTTTACGCGTGTTGGTCGAGAACTTCTTTTTCGGGAAAGACTCTAAAAGATAACCCACTTGAATTTGTATAACTTCTCCTATTAAATTTGTGGGGTTTCCAGACTTCGAAACAAAACAGAAAACTAGTATTGATTTTTCCCGATAGATACTACGAAAACAAACCCACTTGTACTTGATCAGAATCCATTAAACTTGGAGTTTCTCGAAATTCAAAACAAAAAATGATTAAAAATTTCGGACAAACCTTGTTGCAGTGGTACTATCTGAGTGTAGACATCAGGGTACAATTGAGAGATAAAAGCCATGTTTTGATCATCCACAGTGTGGTTCATTTTCTTGAATCTCTCTCTTTTCTCTCTATAGTAATTTGTCTCACTTTTTATGAGATGTGAGAAATTGTGTTGGGGAAGAGGAAGACCTATGATTTATAAAGGGGGTGTAGAGTGCCAAGAAATTATTTTTATTTTTTTGGGTATGAAATGTTATTTTCCTGATGTAGGTTTCTTGTTTCTGGAATTTTCGAAATTGCCACTGGAGATAATAATTACACTCCCGAGCCTCGTTGTGAGTCTTTCGACTCAACTATGAGGATTAGTTAAAGAGGTCTCTTTATCCCCATCTTTAATATTGTTTCATATTGTAAAGACACGACGTTGATAACCGCCTCTCTTCAATCCAAGAACTGAAGGAAGGAAGACTCAAAAATTGACTACAAGTCTGGTTTGCTGCAAGACCATGAGCTCCCTGCTTTGTTTTTTTTAAAAGGTAAAGTCCTCTGCTCTTTGCTCCTAGTCTCTCTGTTTCACTTAGCTGCTAGCTAGGAGGAAAAAATGCAACACACTGATGTACAAAAGATATTTTTTTGATACTGAATAAATTTTACATTCTATTAAAAAAAGACACTTAACTAATTTAAAACTCATGTGAAAGTGAATTAGTATTTCAACATTTTCACCCCCCAAAATAGTATATTAAGAAATAAATGATCAGATTTATATACTTCTGAATGAATAACTCTTTCACAAATTAAATACCTTTACTAATCTATTATACATGTAGACATGTACGTATAGCTCTCTTATTGTGTGTTTGCATGTACCTCCGTTCGCAACAATAAAATACCTTTACTAATCTATTATACATGTAGATATGTATGTATAGCTCTCTGCAAAATAGATCCAAAATAATGTTGTAAAGAGTATGATTAGGCTTTCCTGTTTAGGTAATTAACAGATCTTATTAAGACATAGTCATTGTGCATTGTGATGAACAATCACAAAGCCAGCACCATTACATTGTGTAATACAACTATAATTTGGAAGAAAATCTACCCTTGGGATCCCAACCTGAAGGGTTTTGTACTACAAAAAAAAGAAAAGTCAATTAAAGCATTGACGAAATGGTCGATTTACTCAATACTCATCTGAGAGACAAGATTTTAAAAGAAATGGTCGATACCCATTAGTTGGAACTTTTAGTTCTTACATATACAATTTGGCTCGGTCCATGCGAAGTACAATGCAGCACTTGCGTTGTTATATAGTTATACGTCATTGATACGAGAAGGAAAGACGAAGGGCCTTGGCACATGAACTTACCAAAGTGAAAAAAATTATTCATTACTAAAATCGAAGGATAAGAAGTAATAATTGCGAGCCTCTAGGAAATTATAAAAAGTTTGGAGGGAACACCACTAAATAAAGGAATTATGAGAGACTCTACTGTCCAATGGAGAGGACATGCACTTGTATCAATGTCCTCCTCCTCCAAGACCCAATCAGTCCCGATCATCACACTTTAGACCTTTTTTTCTTCTTTTCATTTGTGGTTAGGGCTCAATGGCTAAGAAGTTTGTTTATTATATTTTAGTAAAGATAATCGGTGCCCTTGCTAGTAGATTAGAGCTGAAAAATTATGCTAAAATCATACTTAAGATTTTAGTTAAGCCCTTTAACAACAACAAAAAAGAAAGATTTTAGTTTACAGCATTATATATTTTACTGTTCCGGTTGACAAAATTCAAAGATGATTAAGACATGCGAACGGAATATTCGAAGGTCTAGAATAACTTTCAAGTAAATCTCAAATATCATCAAATTTATATAAACAGTATGGTTATACATTACTTATTATGTACATTGAATATTTCATAAGTCTTAAATTGAGTTTTAAGTGGGTACTTAAAACTTGTAGCTCTATAGGATTTTGCTTCATATAAATATGCCGAGAGACGGTTTAGAAAAATGGCATCTACATTTAGACATTATAAACGTCCAAGAAAAAAAAAATCTTACTCTAAAAAATACACTTACGAATTTTGAAATGTTGTATTTAATTTCATAACTAAAAGTTAGAAGAAAAAGGGTGGCCAATGAGGAAACAAATGACTTAGATTACTTGCTTAATTGGTCTAAAGCCAAAAAGGATATTCCCTGGGCATCTTAAAAGTAAAAGGATAGAAACTTTAAAGTAGTTGGAGTGTAGTAGGGACTTGTCGTCATCTTACAACTCCTAAGTAAATCATTAATTAGTTTTAGTTGATTATCTTAAAACGGGTTTAGTCCATGTTCATGATGTTAATTGCTTATAGATGTGGACTCTCCTCGCAGATGTTGGAACAATGACCTCCTAAATTGGGTAAATATTTTTTTGTGTATGACTGTCTTAGGGATAGTGCTCGCTTCTAAAAGTTTATCATAGTAATTTTTATGATATTAATAAAATATAATTTAGAGTTAACACTTATAGAATAGTTAGATGCTTAATTAGCCCAACATAGATCATTCCTTTCTTAACACAATACATAATATATTTGAAAACAACCCCAAAAATCTATTAACCTCACGGCCATAGATATCATTTCGATATCTTGATTCTAGATGGTGACTACTAGATTCGCACTCGTATGTTTAACTGAGGCTTTTGTATACTTTTTTGAAATTAGTGTGTCACGTTTTTATTTTTCTTATGGAGTATCTTTTTCTAGAGTTTGTTCATTCTGAGCGGATATAAAGAAAGAAAAAGAGGGGGACAAAAGAACATGATGGGAGTCATATGAAAGGAATTCAACAGTGAAACGTGGCGAATAACAACACAATACATAATATTTTTGTGGTCTTGAAAAATGATTTAAAGTTAGTTTAATTGAAAAATATTGAGAAGTAGACAATGGAAGCCAAAGCCTTTTGTCTCCCTCTTTCTTCTACCAAGTGTTTGTGTCTGCTTTGAGAACTGAGAACACTGCCATGTCTCCACTCCTTAACATGTTCTTCCAATCCCACCCTTACATCTCTCTCCTCCAATTACCTCCCCAATATACTCATATTTTTTTTCAGTATTGTTTAAAGAAAGTGGTGAAACAATTTTGAAAAATCTATATATGTCCGAGAAAGTCCAAAAATATTGATATTAAAAGCACTATCCAAAAAGTCTGGCATGTGATGATACGTACCATGTTTTGGGAACTTACGTGTGAGCCATTTACATAACTTAAAAGGATTGATGATGTTTTGTAATACATACTTCATGAACATTATTATGGTCGACCTGATTTTGGCAGTCGTATTTTTTATGTTTTAAACTGTCTAGACAATATTCTACATAGCTAATGATCAAATACTTTTCGAATACTCATTTGGCTCAACGCTTAGTGAAGGAAAGTATTCAGTTCATAATCTTCAAATGGAGGTGAAAGAAATATAAATGAGTGTACTCATTCGAGTTAAGAAGGTACAGATTAGAACCCTAAAACTCCTTCATTTGCGATATTGCATGCGCCCAAAAGAAGATTTAAGTTATAGTGACAATACTTTTTGCTGTACATTAGCTGTGGTTCAAAAGTCTTAAAATTTAATTTCGAATTCTCTAATTATATAACACCAGTAAATTGAAATTTGAAACATATTTTATTAGATATGTATTTTGTCACATGATGTTCTAAAGCTTTTCATTTGCTTTAAGAAAAAAATTATTTCAAGATTCCCTCACTCCTCGCTTTGTTGTTATTTCCAAACAGGTGTTCGTATCTGGAATTATTATGTGTCTTTTTTTTTAATGCTCGGGTATATGAATTGTAAAGACATATAAGTAAACAATAGTCAAGCAAATTTAATGGTGTTGTTCTAAAAGTAGAAGGCTTTCTTTGGCTGAAACAGGACCATAAATTCGACCATGTAGTAGGTGTCTACGGCTATCAGCTTATCACCATGATTCCTTCTTAATATTTCATTAGAATCATACAAACTGTTATTTTGATACTATTCATACTAATTTAAAATATACTAAATTCATTTATATTTCTAATAATTATATTTAACAAATTTTCTTAACAATTTAACAATTGTTTGTTTAAATCTTTTTAAAACGTACCCAAGCCATTGTAATAATTAAATGCAACTTTAAAATTAAAATATTTTTATAATAAAAATGAAAAATATCAAAAAATTGTATTGAAATTTTAAATGATACTTTTGTGTAAAAATTTACAAATCTTAAATTATTGTGTAACAAAAAATGTTAAAATATAACTTTTTATAAAATGGAAAGTATAAACGTGTCAAATGGAAATAAATTCCATTTTCTACATTTTTATGTGAACGGTATGAGATCATTCCATAACCTACGTCCGTAAGAAAAAATAACATTCTCAAAAGATAACTAATATTAGTACTTTGAAGCGATAACCAATATTAATACTTTGAAAAAAGTAAATTTAAATACAGTTTTTACTTAAAAATTATGTTTTAGTCTAATTATCCATTCGCTCATTGATCGATCGATATATGCCAAACTCTTCAAGTTAACTAGTTTGATTTTGATCAAGGACATGGAGTTGTCCACGTGGTTACTTTATGAGAATCATCAAAAGAGACCACCTCTGTTGTCGGTTCACGTGTCATAAGTCTCCAGTTCATGGAACCTGACTCATTTTCTTCAGAGAGTACAGACCAATTAAATTTCTTGTCCTCCCATAAGTTAACTGTCGCCGCCATCCGCCATGTTTCAGCTTTTAGCATTTCGTCTAGAGACGGACCCTAATCGGTTTAGATAAACCATATGAATTCGGTATATATAAAAAGACTAAGATTATATATGTCAGAAATTTTGAAAATATGAAATTAAGTTAATTTGATCTTCTGTATGATCTCTCAACTGTATCTAACAATACCATCCAAAACTAATATTTTTTTTTAAAAAAAAAAAATTGATAATCGTACATAATCCAGCTATCCAAAGTTCTTATAAAAGAAATATCAAAGTAGCCAAGCATAGAGGGGATATGTTATACACATTTATCCCACCCAAAGAGGCAAAAACTTATCCGCAAAGAACC